GAGGAGGAGGAGGAGGAGGAGGAGGAGGAGGAGGAGGAAGAGGAGGAGGAGAGTAATTCATGGTCTTCCCTACATTTCTCAGCATTCAGTATCTCTTGCAGTTCAATTAGGGTTAGCCTTCCACAAGCTCTCTCTATAGAATATAGATATAGAAATGTAAGTTCACAGTTTTCATAACTACAAAAATACAAGGTAATCATGCAACAAGATTCACATAACAATTATTTTTATGTAACAATACTCAGGAGAAATTTCTAACAAGCATGTTCACTATAGTTACACACTTTGTGTGTGTATGTATGGAGGTGGAGATCAAGGCCAGAGTTTTGCACATGCTAGGGAAGTACTCCACCACCAAGCTACATGGAAACCCTTGGTTTTTTGAGACAGCATCTCACTATGTAGTTCAGTCTGACTTTGGACTTGCTATTTAAACCAGGCTGGCCTCAAACTCACAATCCTCCTACCTCAATCTCCTGAGTGTTAGGATTACACATATGCATCATCACACTACTGTGACACTGTTAATCATTGTAAAACACCTGCACATGTTTTATTCATTATATATATGCACACAAATGGCTGCAAAAATATATTACACTATGTATGCTAAAAATGGATATTTACCTTATTTCCCATTATTTTATTTTATAATTTTATTTATTTTATGTGTATGAGTGTTTTGCCTGTATATATGTATGTAAGTGTGCCACATGCATGTAATGCCCATGGAACCCAGAAAAGGGCATCAGATCCTCTGGAACTGGAGTTACAAATAGTTGTTATCTTCCTTGTGGGTGCTGGGAACCAAACCCTGGTCCTCTGCAAGAGCACCCAATGCTCTTAACCAGTGAGCCAGCTCTCCAGACCCCATTATTTTCCTTTTTTTAAAAAAAGATATAACATACTCTGCTTGTACTTTGAATAGTGTGAATTTCCTTATATAGGACCAATTCCTAGCAGTGTAATTATCTGGCAAAAAGGTATGCATATTTGAGCTGGCAAGATGGCTCAGTGGGTAAAGGCACTTGCTGCCAAGCCCAACGGACCTGAGTTCTAGCCCCAGAATCCACATGGTAGAAGAAAACTGATTCCTAAAAAATGTCCTCTGACCTCCACACATGCACCATGTATGCATGTACACAGACAAAACATATGTAAATGTAATAAAATAAAAACAAATAAATGTAGAACAACTTGTTTTTTGAGACAGCGTCTCAAGACGTAATACTGACTGGTTTGGAACTCTCTATGTACACCAGGCTGGCCTCGAATTAACAGAGATCTGGCTGCCTCTGCCTTGAATGCTGTAATTAAAGGCGTGTGCCACCATGCCCAGCTGTCAAACAATTTTTTAAAGGTGTATATATCAGACTTCCCTCTCAAACGGTATTGCCAGATTATACTCCTGCTTAAGGGCACCCTCTCACTAACACTAAAATAGTACTTAAAAAAAAATTTTTAGCACTAAAATGTTAGTATATTGTCTTATTTACATGTCCTTTATTATTGATAAAGTAACACTTTCTATTTCATGTCTTTTATTTATCTGTTGAACATCTTTTAATTTTTTTCAAACTGATACAAAATATTTATTTTATATTTATTCCAATATAGTCATTTTATGCAGTAGTTTCCCCCCTCGACAGACAATAATAACTGTATCTCTTAAATATGTAATTAATGTTTTTGAAATCTTAATGTAAGAAATCTCACAATAAATTATATTTTGCAAATCCACTGATTATTAAGGAGTTTTAATTGATTTTTAAGAGCTCAGTGTGCATTAAGAACAATAAACAGCTATAAGTTCATAAGTTACAAACATCTCCTCCAGTATTTCATGTATCCTAGAAGTACATACACAATGGGGCCAGCAAGAGGGCTCACTGGCCAAGAGGGCTCACTGCCAAGCCTGAGACCTGAATTCAATCCCCTAAAACGCACATGGTAGAAGAACTTATTGTTTTTTTAAATATTTTATTATTTTTATTTTATGTGTATGAGTGTGTTGCCTCCATGTATGTAAGTGCACCTGTGCCTTGCTATGCCCACAGAAGTCAGAAGAGGGTGTCAGATTCCCTGAAACAGATGGTTGCTAGCCAACATATGGATGCTGGGAACCATGCCCTGATCCTTGGGAAGAGCAGCCAGTGCTTTTAACCACTGAGCCATCTCTCCAGCCCCAAGAGAACCTATTCTTGCAAGGTGTCCTCTGATCTACACACACACACACACACACACACACACACACACACACACACACACACACACACAGAATAAACAAAGAAATAAATAGAAATACACATAAAATGATCATATTGCCAGGAGTAGTAGCGCATATCTTTAATCCCAGTACTCGGGAGGCAGAGGCACGCAAATCTCTGTAAATTCAAGGTCAGCCTGGTCTACATAATGAGTTCCAGGTCAGCTGGGACGACAGGGAGACCCTGTCTCCAAAAGACAACAAAAATAAAATAAAATAAAATAAAAAATTAATTAGCTGCTTCCCTGGGCTGCACAACCCGTGAGCTTCTCTCCTACACACCAGAGCTGACTGCTCAGCCTGGAACCACCACTGCTTCCTGACCTTTGCATCCAGACCAACCCAGTTCCTTCTGGAGGTCCCCAGGAGCCCTTTGGGCCTGGTCCAACCCTCACCTCCCTCTGTTTCCCTGGGCCTGCACAACCATCCAGGCTCTCTCCTGGGTAAGTCCATTGGCACCCTCCGCGCCTTGACTCCCCCAGCCTCATTCACCCACCCAACCTCCCCCGCCTGTCTCTTCTCCTAGCCTGGGTACTGGCCCATTCTTTGTCTTGGCAACCCAGACACCAGGACTGACCTCTGGGCCCCGAACCACCACTGCTTCCTGATCTTTTGCATCCAGACTAACACAGTTCCCACCTCCCTCTGCTTCCCTGGGGTGCACAATCCATCAGACTCTTTCCTGGCTAACTCCCTCGGTGCCCACTGTGCCTTGACTCCCTCAGCCTTATTCACTCTCCTAGCTCCCCAGGCCCTATCTCTCCTCCTAGCCTGGGTACTGGCCCATTTCTTGTCTTGGCACTCTAGACACTGGGGCTGACCTCACTGCTTAGAGCCACCACTGCTTCCTGATCGATTGCATCCAGACCAACCCAGTTCCTCCCTGCAGCCCCCCAGGAGCCCTTGGGGCCTCTTCCAAGCCCCATCTCCCTTTGCATTCCTGGGTGGCACAGCCACCAGCTGCCCAAGACCAGCATCTTTCCAGAGCCCTGCTCCCAGATCAGTCCAATGCCCAAATTCCTTAGGACAACACCTTTCCTGGAGGGATCCAGGCCTTAGGAGAAAGCCTGAGAGCATGTGAACCACAGCTGACTTGGGCCTCTGTGGGATCTCCTGAAGACAAAAGCAATCTGGCCACCCCAATATAAAATCAAAAGAGAGAACCTGAAGCTTAGATGAACCAGCTTTTCATGCCCAAAAAGTAAACCACAAAGACAC